GTTATGTTCTGTCCACAGTTGCATGTGCTATACTTATGCACAACTAATGAAGCAAGTTTGTTTACAGCAGCACAGTCGGATAAGTAACGTGCTGCACGTGACCGCAGGCAAGCCGTGGCACCCGGCACTCAGGAGGGATTTCAGTGAGTAACCAGTCCTGAAGTAGTTCCCGGAGGAGGAAAGGATACATTTAAAGCCTCAAGAAGTGAAATAAAGCCAAGTATCACTAAAAAGCAATTGCTTTTGTAAAACTGTGGACCATTCCTTTTTTCAGAGTGTTCTGCAGTGCTTGTTTTTCTAAGACCCTTATTCAGGATACAGAGAATGTGCCACAGACAAATACCTGAAATCTACAACACTTCTACCTTGTTTGTACACGTTTTTTCTCTTCCACCAGGAGACCCTAAAATAGAAGGACAAGCCTTGATGTGTCAGGGTTTCTTGGCTGACAGATTTGGGGATTAGGAAGGCATCATATTCTCCTTCAAATCATGGTACCCTTGCCTTCAGCAGAAAAGAAAAGTCGTGTGCAAATGTTTGCAAAAAGTGTGGCTGAGGCCAGCTTGCAATGTGCACACACTTGGGCTGTCCATTTGCCGTAACAGGTGTGGTCTGGATGACTGATAAGAGGAAGCCTGACTGGTCAGATGGCCTAAGGACATGGAGGAAGAGCCAGGGCACACGGAATGGAGAGACCCTTATGCCAGCCTTTCTGGCTAAGGGAGCAATTGAAGTTTCATGCTTTTGCAAAGGTCACAGTCTCTTTGAATCTCTGAAGTTTTCTTTGTTTTCACTACATGGATACGGGGGCCGGGGGTAGAGGAGAAAGGGATATCTATATTTCTAACCATACACTTTCTGATTGCAGGAGAAAATATCTGGTGATTACAGAAATTTAATCAAGAAGCCCAAACAAATTAGTGTTATGGCTGATGACCACATTGGCTTACATTCTTGTCATACACTGAATTCCAAGTTATCAGGCCAAAAAATGTGGACTTGGCGAAGATGAATTACTGTCAATTGTTTCAGCTTTCCAAACCAGATGTGACTGGCACCAGAAGCTCCGAGCGAATATGGAAGCTGAAAGCCACATGACATTACCTTTGGTTCCAATCCAAAAGTCTTCCATTCTGGAAATCTGTAACAAAAGTCTCTCTAGGGCAGACATTGTGACTGCCTCTCCAGCACGGTGCCTGGCCTGTAACAGCTGCTCAAGAAATGGGTGTTGAATAAGCAAATGGCCAGCAAGGTCACTTTGGGTTGCTGGGATCAGAACAGCATATGCAGTTATTGTGGATGCTGGCGTGGGACTTGTACAGCCTGGAACAGTCTCTTCCTCTGCAGCTAGTAATATTTTTCTGTTTATGAAGAGCAGGCATTCTTGGACATTGGCATAACGGTCCTGCACACAGTGGCATCGACACCTCACTATTACATTCTCCGGAAGAGCCAGCATGCTACTCTTTAATGGTGAGTTGCTTTTTCTTTATCTAAGGATTTTGATTTCAATGGGTTTCTAGTCCTCGGTTTCTTTCTATAAAGAGACGAGTATCTAAGAGAGAATCAAGCAGGCAGGTGTGGTTGAATTTGGTAGCATCTCACTGCTCTGAGAGAATGCTGCAGCTTCACCTCCGTCCCAGGGCAGCAAAACTGAACATGTTTTCAGTCTTAGCTGTCGTCCTGTCTATAAACCTGCATTTCAAATAAATTTAAAAACAAGCATGTGCTCAGCTCATTACATGGGGGAGGGGGAATTAAGAATTTTCCTGTTCCTTCTTTTCTCTTTTTTGTAAGATTTATTTTATTTTTATTACAAAGTCAGATATACAGAGAGGAAGATCTTCTGTCCATTGATTCACTCCCCAAGTGGCTGCAATGGCTGGAGCTGAGCCAATCCGAAGCCAGGAGCCAGGAAGTTCTTCTAGATCTCCCACATGGGTGCAGGGTTCCAAGGCTTTGGGCTGTCCTCAACTGCTTTCCCAGGCCACAGGCAGGGAGCTGGATGGGAAGTGGGGCTGCTGGGATTAGAACCGGTGCCCAGATGGGATCCCGGGTGTGTTCAAGGCGAGGACTTTATTTAGCCACTAGGCTATTGCACCGGGCTCTCCTGTTCTCTTGCTCTCTCTGTGGCACTGGTTAGAAGGCTGGGAGAGGAGGAGAAAGACCAGGCAGGGTCAGAGAGGACTGTGTGGCCCTCCTCATGGCATGCCGCGAACCTGCGGTCCCCAGCTGGATGAGAGGGCAGTGTTTCCTCCTATAGACTTGGTGATTACAAGGCTTTCCATTCCTAAGTGGGACGACAGAGATTCTGGGAGCCTGCCTGAGTGCATGACAAATCTACTCCCCTTGTACAGGTTTAAAGGCATGATGAAAGAAAAATTCTTTTTCAAACCATACGCAGTGAGACCCACTGGTCGAATACACAGGTTCCATGTAGGATCCAGAAAAGGTATCTTGCAAAAAATAGATCTTGAGTTTTACAGGCAGAAAATGGCCACATTTGTTCTCTGAGAGTAGGGCACATAGATGCAAGAGAGCCACTGCTGGGACCTCCCTCTTGGGACTCACGAACTGAGTAAAGTCCTCATTATGGCGAGCTGTGTCAACAACAGCCTGTGTTGCATATGCGGTGGGGTGGGGGCAGGTTCAGGAGGGCTTGTGCTCTCTTAGGATTTTTACCTTGCTCATGATTAAGCTTTGGAAGCAATGGAATCACGGGTCAAGCTTCCTCCTCAGATGTTTGCGCAGAGAGCCAAGGTTGGGCACACGAGGCTCACCCTGAGGGGGCTGTCCTGGAACCAGGCACGCTGTGGCTCTTGGTTGGGCAGACTGGAAACTCCCATTTCATTCAAGTGTAATCAGGCTCTGAGAAACTAGATAAAACTGCTTCATAATTCAGTTCAATGAACTGACTGATAAATCACAATGTGATTGACAAGAGCTGCAGACCTGGAATAACTAGTTGCAATGACCTGTCTCCAACAGCAGTTTCTTTCTTTTTTTTTTTTTTTTAAGATTTATTTTATTTTTATTGGAAAGGTGGATATACAGAGAGGAGAGACAGAGAGGAAGATCTTCCGTCCGATGATTCACTCCCCAAGTGACCGCAATGGCTGGAGCTGAGCCAATCCGAAGCCAGGAGCCACTTCCGGGCCTCCCACGCAGGTGCAGGGTCCCAAAGCTTTGGGCTGTCCTCGACTGCTTTCCAGGGCCACAGGCAGGGAGCTGGATGGGAAGCGGGGCTGCCGGGATTAGAACTGGCACTCCTATGGGATCCCAGGTGTGCAAGGCGAGGACTTTAACCACTGCGCCATCGCGCCAGGTCCCAACAGCGGTTTCTTACTGGGTGTGTGTACCTGCTGAGATTTCCCCCTTCTGCGATGGAAAAGCTACTTGCTGAATTTGGAATCAGAGCAAATAAGCACCTAATGGATATTCAAAACTGAAGGTTGCTACAGTTTGAACTTTATGAAGTCAGGAATGTTATCTGCTGATGAGACTAGAACATGGCAGGCATTAAATAGATCCAAAAGTTATTTTATTTGAAAGAATCTCTTATCTACAGGTTCACTCCCCAAATTGCCTCCTCCCAACACCAAAAAAAAAAAAAAAAAAGAAATCATCCAACAAAATGAAACAAAGCAAAACCAACAGCTAGAGTTGAGCCAGGCCCAGGACAGGAGCTAGGAGTCCCGACTGCAGTCTGGGTCTTGGTGTGGACTGCAGCCATTCTCAGAACACAGGTGTGTCAAGTGCTGTGCTAGAAATCTGACCAAGAACTAAGATTTTTTTAAGCAGCTCTGACAGGTCGTAGTCCTTACAGCCATTGCAATCTCTGCTGGACAGAGTGAGAGCCTCACAATACATCCTTTCCCAGATTCCGTTGTTTCTAGACCCTTTGTGGACCCCACCCTTCAGTTATGACAGCATTGGCCGGGTTACAGAGGATTTAGTTCAGTCTTTCAGATGATACCTGGGAGCTGACCTGGTCTCTGTGACACGTTTACAGATCATCTGAAAGGGTGATTATTTCTTTCTTTTAAACCTCGTCCCCAAATTCTCCTAGGATTCTGGGTTTCCCTTTTCTGTGTTAGTGACTTTCAGTTCAGGTAGGACAGGGGGCAGTGTGAACGTGGTGTTTCATATGCTCACAGCCACCAAGCGTTGTTTTTCTTTTTTTTTTTTTTGTGCAGGTTTGGATCTACTGCTGTGAAGGAAGCTCAAAAGGTGAGCATTACTTTTTTTTTAAAATTCTCAATGGAAATCTCAAAAGTTCTTACCAGATCAAAGCCAAGAAGATATTGGCTGACTGTTCCTAGTTTAGTCAGCTTGAATGAGCTGTCAGCTGCCTGGGAGCGGAGACGCATGGATTGGGTTTTTGGGCCCAGGAAAAGGGAGAGAGAGAGAGGGGGAGAGAGAGATCTTCATTCTTCCTTGGCTTCCGAAGCCTCTTGGTGAGCTTGAGGCCTAAGGATTCTACAAAGCGCGGGCGATCTAGTGTCTTGGGTTTGTGGGTCAGGTCCCAGGGCAGGGCGCGGACGGGGCGCAGGGGCAGCGGCTGGCCGCCCACCTCACTGTGAGTCACCGCTTAAGGCCTCTGTGCTCACGGCCAGCATAAAGGGGCCTCTGGCCTGTGGCGGCCGAGGCGACAGACACGCAGAGGCCCAGGAGCCGTCTCCTTCGGCCAAATTCAGACTTCTCGTATATCCCCCCTCACTTTCCTCCTTTTCTTTCCCAACCTCCCTCCCCCATACGGAATACTCTCAGATCGCTCCGCTCCCTCGGGCCCGGGCTAGGCTTCTCGCACCCCAACTCAAGGAGCAAGCTTTTGCGGTCGGAGGAGAAGATGCAGGGTCCCCCAGGTTTGCGGGGTCTCCCAGGTTTGCGCGGTCCCCCACCTTGGCGGCCGCAGTGGCCGTCGCCGGCCCGGCCTCCCCGCGCCGCGCGCCCCTCCCGGCCCCGCCCACGCACGTCACGTCCGGTCCGGCCTCCTCCCGCTCGCCGTTAGGGAGGTTGTGCGCCTCAGCCGCCGCATCGGTCGCCGCTCCGGCCGCTCCTCGCGCGACTTGGCCGCCTCCGCCGCCGGGGGTCATCCGGGGTGGGGGGTCGCGCTCCGGGCTGGCCCCGCGCCACAGCCGTCGCCTGAGCCCGCTGTCGGCGGCCGTCCCGGGCAGAGGCTCGCCGTCCGCCGAGCCGCTCGGGGCCTCCGCGCTCGCCCGCTCGTCGTCCCCGCGGGTCCTGGAGAAGCGGCCGCGGCCGGGGAACGGGGCTGGGCGCTTGCGACGGTAGGTGGGCCGGGACGCGGCTGTGCGCATGCGCGGGCCGCGGCCTCTTCCTCCTCGGCCGCTCGGCCGGCGCCTGGTCGGGGCAGCGGCGGCTCTCGGGGTGCGGCGGGCGTTCTGTGGCGGGAGGACCTCCTCCTTCCCCCGCCTCTCCCTCCCTCGGCGGCGGAGGAAGAGGAAGGAGCCGCGGCCCCCTGGGCGCCCCCGCCGGGCCGGGGGTGTGGCAGGCAGGCCTCGGCCGCTCCCCGCGCCGCAGTGCGCGCGATGGGGCGTCCCGCCTTTCCGCCCGGCTCCCCGAGGGGTCTGAGGGCCGGCGGCCTTGCTCACCCCCTCGTCCGCACTTGCTCAGTGCCGGGCAGTGCAGTGGATGCGGGGAGGGAAAAAAAAAAGCCGTGTGGTTTTTATCTCCCACCCCACTGCGTCCCTGTTTGAGGTCACGTGAGACGAGCGGTTGCCGACTTCCTTAAATCGTTTAGAATATGGCCAAAATTGGGCTGGTTGTGCAGCGGGGCCTCTCGGCTGGAGTGGCGTCTGCCCGGGTCGGGGGCCGCTGTGTGCAGCCCTCTGTGTCCGGGGGGTGGCTGTGGTTTCTTGGGTAAGGTTTCTTCTTTTTTTTTTTAAAGCGGATTTTAGCGGTTGACGCACTTTGACCAGTTGGAAACTAAGCTGGCTCTTTCTTTCTAAAAGGATCAAGGATCAAGACTTTCACTTGGCTCCCCATTATGCTGTCAAATCAATGAACAAAGTTGGTCATTGATTGATTTCAAGAAACTGATAAGCTAAAAATGGCCACGAGCACCACCTTGATCCAGCCTGGTGCGCGCGCTGGCTCATGGGTGGTTTGGGGTTGGATCACTGAGGCAGGATTACTGGGATGCTGTGACTTGAAGTCTCCCTTTTGTAACCTTCAAATAACTTGTTGGCCTGGGTTTCACACAGGTACCGTGCACTGTGTGTTGGAAGTAATAAAATGTCAATGTTTGTCCCTTCCCTTCTTAGAGCTTCTTTTAAAAAAGCGGGCAGTATTTTCTCCAGCTTGATTGTTAGCAGTTTAAGCATTTGTATGACACAGCTTAAACCCAAAAACGTGTGGGATATACCACAGTGCCATACAATTTTTGGTTGGGGAAAGCAAATTGTTACAGTGTTTCTTTTCTTTTTTATTTTTAAAAATCAGAGTATCATCTTAGGACAGAAAATTGTCACAGTTGAATAAAGTGACATACCATGTGTCTCCACCGGGAAATAATTACTGTTTTTATCAAGTCGCTTGTGATCACCCTAATTGTGCTCATGGCTCCCCTATTACTGTACACTGTGCAAAACTAGAGAAGACTATACGTGTAAGTTGTGAAAAATTGTATTTTAAGGAGTTGTGGTAAAGTACACATAACAAAAATTTACCAGTTTGGCTCAAAATTTAACAGTTTTAATCAAAATATTCTAGATTGGTAAGTTACAAAAATGTAAAATTTGGCGATTTGGTGGCATTACATATACAGTGTTGAACAAAATGTTGCCATTCTCCATTTCCAGAATTTTCTCACACATTGCAGTTAGCAACTGTGTATTGGTTAGACTGTCACATCCCGTTTGCTTTATCCTGAGCTTGTGGCTACCTCTGTTCCAGCTTTCTATGAATTTGCTTAGTCTGGGTACATCACCTAGGTGGGATCACACAGCATTTTAATTTTGTGTCTGGTGTATTTCACTTAGAATGATGTTTTCAAGATTCATGTGTGTTACGTATTAGAGTTTTGTTGTTCAGTTGCAGGTGTATACCAAGTTTGGTTAATCGGTTCGTTTACTAATGCATGTTGGAGTTGTTCCCACCTTTGGTTGTTGTGAATAATGCTGCAGCATACATGGTTGTTATCTTTTGAGTAAATAGATGCCTCGAGGTGGAATTGCACAGGGTAATTTTATGTTTAATTTAAAAAAATCATTTATTTAATTTGTTTGAAAGGCAGTGACATAGAGAATAAGAGATATTTCCCATCTGCTGACTCATTCCCAGATGCTCACAGCAAGAAGTGCTGAGACTGGCCCCGGGCTAGGCTGAAGCTAGAACTCAGTCCTGGCCTCCCAGGTGGATGGCACAGACCCTGCCCTTAATGCCATCGCCTGTTGCCTCCCGGGGTGTTCAGGGATGCAGGATCAGAGCAGAGGCAGGACGAACCCAGGCTTTCTGACAGTGGATTTGGCTGCACTAAATGCTTACCTCAGGTTTACTTCAAGAAGCTGCTAAATCATTTTCCCACAGGAGCTGTGTTTCTGTGTCTTTATGAGCAGTTGTTTATATTGGTTGGTTTATCAGCAGCCATGCTAATGGAGTTAAACTGGTACTCTTTGTTTTTAATTTGCACGTGCCTAAAGACTAGCGATGGGCATATATCCATGTTTATTGACCCATTTATGTCTTTTGGAGAAGTGTACATTCAAGTCCTTTGCTTGTGTTTATATGTTGGAAATGCAAAGGCTAAGCTTCCATCTGCTGATTTACTCCTGGGGTACCTGTGGTAGCCAGGACTAGGCAGGCTAACTCCTGGAGCTGAAACTCTTTTTTTTTTTTTTTTTAAAGATTTATTTATTTTTTGCAAAGTCAGATATACAGAGAGGAGGAAAGACAGAGAGGTCTTCCATTCATTGATTCACTCCCCAAGTGGCTGCAACGGCCGGTGCTGTGCCTATCCAAAGCCAGGAGCCCGGAGCCTCTTTCTGATCTCCCCTGAGTTTAAGCTGTCTTTGACTGCTTTCCTAGGCCACAAGCAGGGAGCTGGATAGGAAGCAGGGCCACTGGTGCACCGGCGCCCTTATGGGATCCTGCCTTGCACAGCAAGGCAAGGATTCCAGCCAGTAGGCTCTACTGCACCGGGTGCTAGATTTACTTATTTTTCTTGTAAAGTCTGATAGACAGAGGATAGACAGAAAGGAAGATCCATCCGCTAGCACTCCCCAACTAGCTGCGATAACCGGAGCTGAGCCAGTCTGAAGCCGTGAGCTTCTGGGTTTTCCATGTGTGTGCAGAGTCCCAAGGCTAAGTACTAAGTTAGATTGGAAACGGAAATGATGAAACGTGGAATTTATACAACAAAGGTAGTCATAGCACAGCAAAGCATTGTAGTAGCACACTAGTGTAAATTAGTAGTTATTAAATCATTAGCAGATTTGTTTACTCATCTAACAGGTGTTTACTTAGTTCCTACGTGCTAGAACTCCATGGAGCAGTAAAATAACTGGTGCTTATTATATAGTGCTATAAACTTAGTAGAGATAATTGCATACTGAAACTGGTGAATTTTACATTTGAAATTATTGAATTTTATGGCATGTGAATCATGCATTAATAAGACAGTTTAAAAAAATAACCACGAGTGGATTTTGGGGACCTTGTTGTCTGGTGGTAGAGACAGACATTTAACAAACGAATGCATCTGTACTAAAGCTGGAGGCGAGGAATGATATTGTCTGTGACAATCAGGAAGGTGACTAAATTGAGTGAGTTGGAGAAAGCCCCTCAAAAAATGGTGTTTGTGTGAGAAATGATGAGAAGGTTCAGGAAAATGTTGGGTGGACAAGATAATTTAGTGACATTACTAGACTTTTTACTAGAGAAAGAAATGTGGCAGCTCTTTTATATGAGTATTCATTAGCTTCTGCTGTATGTTTTCTTACATGTTTGATCTGTATGATTCTTATCTCTGGTTCTTAAGCTTCTGAGAGCTGTCAAATTTCTGTTTGCAGGAGTGGAAGAATGGGAAAAAAGTTATTTTTGCTTACCTGTTCTCTACGTGGCTTTTGTATGTCAAGGCGTTGTCCTGTGTACTTGAAAAAGAAAAATGGAAAACCGCTTATTGTGTGCTGTATTGCTTGCCGTATATATGTCATATATATGACATATATGATATGCCATATATATAATGTCATATATGCATATTCCTCCCCCCTCCCCTGCCCAGGTGCTTTAATGTCCTAATTTTGGAATTTTTTTTTCATTAAAAAATTTTTTTTAAAGATTTATTTTATTTTTATTGCAAAGTCAGATGTATAGAGAGGAGGAGAAAAATCTGTTCGAAGATTCACTTCCCGGGTGACCGCAATATCCAGTGCTGTGGTGATCGAAGCCAGGAACTTCCTTCAGGTCTCCCATGTGGGTGCAGAGTCCCAGGGCTTTCCCAGGTGACAAGCAGGGAGCAGGATGGGAAGTGGGGCCACCAGGATTAGAACTGGCGCCCATGTGGGATCCCAGCGTGTTCAAGGCGATGACTTTAGCTGCTAGGCCACCATGCCGGTCCCATTTTTTTTTTTCCCCAAATATGAGTTCAAAATCTGAGGTTCTGCTGTTGGTTACTGTTTAGAACTGAGGAACAAAGAGGAAATCTTTGCTTTTTGTGCATTTTTTGCTTAGTTTACAGTTACTGCTTTTATGTTCTTGTGGTAGTTTTATTTTTCCCAGAGGTTTTGTGTTTTCTTTTTCTTTCTTTTTTTTTTTAAGATTTATTTATTTTTATTGGAAAATCAGATATATAGAGAGTGAAGAGACAGAGAGGAAGATCTTTGGTTTGCTGAATCATTACCCAAGCGGCCTCAGTGGTTGGAGCTGAGCCAATCCAAAGCCAGGAGCCTCTTCCAGGTCTCCCACGCGGGTGCAGGGTCCCAAGGCTTTGGGCCGTCCTCGACTGCTTTCCCAGGCCACAGGCAGGGAGCTGGAAGGGAAGTGGGGCTGCTGGGATAGAACCGGCGCCCATATGGGATCCCAGTGCACTTACAAGGTGAGGTCTTTAGCAACTAGGTTATCATGCCGGGCTTTTTTTGTTGTTGTTAAGATTATTTGTGTGTGTGTTTTGTTTGTTTTTTTTGAAAGATTGTAGAGGGAGAGATGGAGAGATCTTCTACTCCCTGTTTTACTCCCTGAATGGCTGTAGTGAAGCTAGGAGCAGAAGCTAAAGCCAGGAGCTTAGTGTTTCTTCCAGTTCTCCCACATGGGTGTGGAAGCCCAATGC